AGCATTGTGTTCTACGAATTGACCACAACGATTATTTACTAAACGACTGGAGGAATTTCGTAGCCCTGCCTACAGAAGACCAAAGTGTAGGGGAAACCAGCATGGAATTAGTGAAGAACCATTTGCTCCACGGAAGATGGGTATGGATCACAAAGGAAACTGAAATTTGTCGTAGGAGTATCGTGATTGAGCGAACGTCTCAACTTTACGACGCTCGATTGATGTACATTCTCGGCAATGATATACAACTGCCCAACCGACTCGAATCCCTCAAAAATTTCACTCAATCCAGACGCCGAAAGTGGGATACTTGGGAGAAACCGCAAGAGCAGCAAGAGTTTTATTTGGCTTCAACGGAGGCAAAGCTCTGGAGATGGGTACATGGTAAAGCTTATGTAGAAGGTGAAGGTGGCCCGCTTGCGTGGATAAATCACGAGAACAACAATGATTTGGCCAGGTTCTCCCGTCTAGAAAATCAGGGGCATCATGACTGGAGAACAAGAACGGCAATATTTGGAAAGAGAATAGATCGTTCTCTATCTATCATACCACCCATGGTCAAGATAGATTCTGGTCTTGGTGGAATTGAAGAAACCAATAATTCCGGCGAACCCTCTTCTTCTCCTACCGAATTCGTTTCTACCTTGAAGCATTTACCTGGGTGTGATAAGACTAATACCCCAGGATTTGGCTGTGATTGCCCAGGTCCTGCCCGAAAGGAGGGCCATCAACTCAACGATGACGGTAGTGAGAAATATCAAAAACGGATGAAGAGTCTGATTGCAAAAGGATATAGCCTCGAGCTACGCATTTCTAAATTAGAAGCTATTGTTGAAATTACTTTAAGTGGAAGATCAATTCGCAAACGGGATAAAATTATTCCCAGATCGAAATCCAAGCGTTCATCGACAGGTCCAATTCCCGCAGCGGTAACAACACTCTAATGCTCTCACGATCTTGCACATCAATATTGGATATGGAAATATGATCTTTTCCTTTTCTTTGATGTTCTACTTTAATTTGTAATTTGTAATCGAGGACCACCGATAGGTCATAGGAGATGGAGGTTTGAATGAGAGCTATAGGTTTGCTAGATAAATTTGTGTTCTTGAAAGGGGAGGGAGAAGTGTTGCGTCTTGGTTTTTTTCTTGGGGCAATGGAGTATGATCATGCATAAAGAGTTACGATCTATATGACTATATGCAAGATACCAACCAATAATAATAATAATTAAGGTCTCAAATTTTCCTCAAATTAAGATACAAAACCGGATAGGTTGTTTTGAGACTACGGAGTGCTATGGTGCAATCGAGAAACATGCCTCTATTCCATACTCAAGTTGGGTGAAGCCTGGCGAGCTCAGTACCAACTTGAATTCTGAAAGTGGGAGGAAGAAAGCACATGATTTTTTTGCTGGTCGGCAAACGTCTAATCTAGATGATTTGTACTCGGGTTTTCTTGTCATGTTGTGAATTTAAGTTCTTTCATCCAAAGTCAATCTTTCATTCTCTCGTCAGATTGGTGACTAGCAACAAAAAGCGGGTTATTTCCATCATAGGGACGAAGATCTCGTCTTGTTCTAAACACTTCGCGTTTTGTTTCCTACTCCTAACTTATAAGTTATATCATTCTTCAGCTTAACCCAAGCTAATGTCCAAGAAAAAGTCTAAATGTGGGGGGGATCAACGGGTAGTTTGATACTAGAAACTTGAGCCGACACTAAGTTCCAACTACTGCCGTCTTGACACCCTGCATCTCAGGAACCTCGTCATGATAGCTTAACGGTTAAAATTATAATATTCCAAGCCTTTTAGTTCACTCAATTTCTTGCATATAACTCTTTTAATTCGCAACTAGTTGTAGATCTTTGCTCTCTACATCAAATATTCTTCCGTCCTAGCCAGCACAAGCAACTTGACTAACCCAGTCATAACACTTATTGTCATTAAGATCTTCCATATATCGGTGGCTAGTTGGATTTGAAGACCTCCAGATGACCGCATAGCAAAGGTAATTGGTTAATCTTGGAGAAGAATGATTACTGTTGCACGACTGCCTCACATGCATTTGCTGGATTGCCCATGTCTGATGTTACCTTTCCCATCTCCTCAGAATGGGATTTTGCAATGGATTACGCTTGTGGGAATGTGTGTTGAGTTCTAGCGGTTGATGGTGTTTTTGATTCCAAACTGATTGGCACAAGATGACAGATTAGTTTAGCTCTTATGAGCAGCGATTCCGGAGAAGCGGAAAGTCTTCGAGGAAAGAAGACTTTTGATTCCCTAGATACAGCTTGTAATGGTTAATCGTTCTCCCTAGTAATGTGTATAGGCTCGATGTATTCTTTGTCCCTTGTTCGAGAGTTGAGCACTTGGGTGGGTGTTCAGGCCGCTAAGATAGGAATTTCAATCTTCGTTTTGTTTTTCTAAGAAATCATTCTAGCGATACTATGGTGGATGGTTGTTATCTCAATGAGATCGCATCGTTACGAGCAGTTTCTACATATTTCTCAAGATCGTTGTGGATCATCGTTTGATGCATTTTTAACAACTGGAGTTGCCCAGCCCATGTGGAGCCCGAGTCCAGTGATATCAATATGTGGCTGGATTGACGTGGCGGACGGTGGCTTTGAGGCGTTGCGGGGGCGGTGCGCTAGCGGAAACAATTTACATTGACATTGAGGCATTTCTAAGCATTAGAAATGCGGTCTGACTGTTGAAACTGTCATCATTGAAGCTTTTTGACTGTAATCCAACTCAATAGATTATTTTTATCGCTTGATACCTATTCCATTGGGGGTTTCCACGATGAACAATCTACTGCGAAGTAAATCGGGTTGTTGGACCTGCCGTTTGCGTAAGAAGAAATGCGATGAGCGGAAACCATCACCATGTTCCACATGCGAATCCTTAGCGATAACGTGCTATGAATACGGGGCTAAGCCAGATTGGATGGATAATGGACCAAGAGAGAAAGAAATGGCGAATAGTATTAAACAAATTGTCAAATACACATCACGTCGAAAGGGTCGACAGACTGGTTCAAACGTGGCTCCGAATAATGGGGTCAATACTGAGGCTTCCACCGTCAATATTGCACCAAAGATCACAACTGCACCCACTAGAGCCATTTCTACAGCAATTGAAGATACAGCTTATCATAAAACTTCATCAGGATCTTCCCCTGCGCAGTCCAGTCCAAGTATATCAGCGGAAACTTCCACGGTAAGATGATCACAATTGAGCATTGATGAATGACTAACAAAATCCAGGGCACGACGCCAGGAAGTGGAAACGCATTTTTCGGTACACCGATAATTACAAATAATGAAGCAGCTTTACTAATGCATTTCGTGGATAATGTATTTCCGCTGCAATATCCTATGTATAAGCCTGCAGTGTCTGAAGGAGGACGAGGGTGGCTACTCTCCCTTCTGCTAAAGACTAAACCTTTATACCATGCATCAATTGGTCTCAGCGCTTACCATCGCGGTGTTGTACTTCGTGAGCTGACTTCCGGTGGATGTACAAAGCCCAGCATCGCCGAACAAGAGAGCCACCTTGCTATTTGTTTGACTGAATTTCAAGAGGCAATTAGATCCGCCCAGGATTGTGCTAAAGACTGCGTCTATGGCAGGGAAATTTGCGTGGGGAGTAATCTTGCAATTATGGCTTGTGTTGTTCAACTTGTCTTTTTCGAGGTAAGTCTCGTCTTTTATACAATGTATGACTTTTCAAAGTCTTGCTAAGTTATCGAATAGCTTTTTGGTGTACAAAAAAGCTCATGGCAAGTTCATCTCCGCGCGGCTACCGATTTGTTTGGTCAGGGGTACCGAACGCATGCTGCCGAGCTTGGCTTATGGGCCAATGATGAATCGGCAGCCATAACTCCACCAACAGCTTGTGAACTGCTCAACAATGAGCCCTCTATAATTTTCTTGTTTCTATCCGGGGTGGTTATGTGGTTGGACGTGGTGTCTTGTATGACTACAGGAAAGTCACCACAACTTCTTGATCTCCATCATATGGCTTTTGGCCGCCAGATCAAGCTAGAGAAGATTATGGGCTGCAAGAACTGGGTTATGACTGAAATAGGCCGTATTTCTACACTACATGAATCTAGACGGAACGGACTTCAGAGCGGTACCTTTGATACATATTCGTTCGAGACACAGGCCGATGTCATCAGACAAACCATCCGACGTGGCCTAAATGAACAATTCTTGACAGAACTTCGTATTACAAATCCAAATACGACATCACATGGTGGATCACGGATAAGCGATCAAGCTGTCATAACACGGCTCTTTGCTCGTGCTGCCTGCATTTATTTGGAGCTTGTCGTTCATGGGTTTAAGATTGTTGAAGAAAAGCCGGACTTGTACAGTCTTATCGTCGAACCTTTGAGCATGCTGTCAACCATATCAAACGAGGATCTAATCCGTGCTATCGTGTGTCCCTTGTATATATTGGGATGTGTGGCCAAAGTGGAAGAACGAGATGTTTTCAGAAAGACGTTTTCTTCGCCACCATTGGATGATCCATTCATGCATCATCGAAGTACCATTTTACCTCTCCTGGAAAAGGTCTGGATTCTCAGGGATATCCATTCAAATAACGTGAGCTGGGAATGCGTGTTGCAACTTTCGGATGATAAGATACTACTACTTTGAGTCGGTGCCTTGCATTTTCTTGCTCTTCGATGCTCGGATTTTCCCCATAGCTACAATCTCTGTTTCATCACTTCAAGAGCATAATGAGGAAAGTTCTTTTATCTTTGAACTAAATTTATCGATAGATCTCGATGGAGCTGAGGCCTAAGTACTAGCTTGTAGACCTAAACAGAACGATTGCTTCAGTCACAAACCCTCTCCTAACCTTATCGACACCCTCCGGAATCATGCTCAACGAACTACATCCATAGCTCTATACAGAATCGCTGCTCGTATTCTACTCGGTACAAATAAGTGCATTTCGTTGAGAATTATTGCAGCGAAGGCATTACGATTTCGTCATCCTCCTCGGCGTCTTTTCCCAAAATAGTACAGTATTCATCAAACTTGCAGCACTAAAAGCAGCAAGAACAAACATTTGGGTGTTATATGCATCAGAGTAAGCTTTTCTTGTAATAGCCAAAAGCCTCGGAGGGAATTTTGTGAGGACTTTGGCCGACTGGAGAAGCTCGTTAAGCTGGATTGGAGAAAGGATCGACGCAAGAGCGGAGGTGATGTGATTATTGAGCACATTGGTAGAGATTGCGATTCCTATCGATCCGAAAAGAGCTCGAAACTGGCCCGCGCCACTCATTCCTACCGCTGCCAACCGAATAACACGTTGGTCTTCGAAATCTTTTCTTTTTGGGGGTAGCTACGCGATCAATATTCATCAGGAGGGTGAATTTCAATCAGTACTCACCCATATCTTGCTTAGTTGCGATGAACGGTATCATCATAATAGAAACCTCCAGGCTCCCCCCGAGCCCAAGTCCTGCCACTACTTGGTATCTGTAGATCGCGCTTGGAATATCTTTATTTGATGAAGAGAAGCCAAGAAGAACTAGACCGGCGATTTGTAGCGGCGCAAACCCCATCAAGACCCATATGAAGAGGATGCATAATTTTTGGACAAGGACTCCGCCTATAAATGAACCAAATGGTATGCTAATGGTCAGAGCCAACAATCGATAACCTGCTCCGAGAGGAGAGTTTCCATTCACAGCCTGAAATCTTTGCGGAAGGTTGATTATCACCGTTTTCATGGCTGCGCCTGTAAAAAACGAATCTCTGTTACCATGAGAATGAATTAGCTACTGCGTGCCTGTCGAGTTGGGTCGCCATCAAACACATTCTGTTTGGGTTAGTCCATCTTTTGAGATGTTTCCAAGTCAAGGGAATCCCATGCTAGATTCACAAACTGAAATCTCCATCCTTCCAGAGTCGAGTCAACCAGCGCTTGTTCTTCCAACTGGACCTTTACTTCAATCTTGTCTGCAATTATTCCAGCGTCGACGGACAATTTCTCATCGAATTTCCTCGGTGGAGCTTCATCCCGAAATTCTGCAATTCCAACAGTTGTTGCAATGTTTGGGCTTTCATGATCAGTGATTTGATCAGAATTATGAGCACCTAAATCTGCAGCTTGATGTGGCATCGCTTCTGCTCTCATTTCCAACACAATATTCGTACTGTGTCACTGAGAAGATAGAAAATTATATTAAGAGCCCAAGTGACTACGTTCAAAGTATTGTTCGGGGTATTAATACTTCGAAATGGAAGACCGTTTTTGGTGTTGCAACCAACCAAGGTGGCCGGATATCATGCAGTCATTTTAAGACATATTACGGGCTTTACGGATTGATCCTCTACCTACCAAGGTGTGGCCGATGCGGCTAATGTTCACTGAACTGCAATTTAGTCCCTGCACACTGCGTCAATATAATGCGCAGCACCCCATGTTCATTCATTTCGGGAATTAGCTTTGTTTGGTAAATTATAAGATGCCTTTTCACGTGCCTACATATCTGGCTGAATGGGTAAATTTCAAGCTTTGCACCTGTTTTGAGAGTAGAGGCTATTCGTTGACGAAAGCAAATATTTCCGTATATTCATGTCAAAAAATTTCTCATAAGACTTAAACTTCGAGCGAGAGGTGCAAGCTAGCCCAGCATCTCACTACCTACGGGACAGTTGACCTCCCCCATACCATGCCCAAGCTAGATAGCCACCCCCAACGCCATAAAATATGGCCCACATATCTCGCTGGTTTTCGGAGCCAGAACAAGCTTGAAACCATTGACTGTGAAATTCCCTTTGTTTATGTATGGAAAAGGTTCATTTGGGACTTCTTTCCCGAGAAATTTGCATAAAATCTCCCAGCCATCGCGAGGGTGAAATTCTAGAAGGTTTTCTGGGGAATTACAGAACGTATATGCTCGACATGTTTCGACATATGAGCGGCAAGCGCTTCGCGATCTGTCCATGGCTTAGTAGAAGTGTATTCGGTGATTGCAAGACGTATGGCCCCATGTACAGCGCCGGTTCCCTCCTATACAATAGCAGATTTCGGCCGTTAGCTTGTGCAAAAAGTTGTGGTTATATCAAGATTTAGAAAAACATTGAGGAGACTTGATTAATTTACAGGATTGATGAATTGTAAAAAGGGCCAAACTCGCCATTCCAACACTCTATAAATTGAGCCATCGAATGACTTCACCCACGCGACTGGTTCACGGCGAGTAAGAACTACCTTAGCATTTGGAAAGGCCGCCAGTATTTCATCAAAGAAATTGACACATGGCATGTCACTAAGGGCCTAAATCGAATCCAGCAATCAAACGCGAAGCTATCTGCTCAGGATATACCTACACTGTACCCTTGCAGAAGTTTATCAAAGTCTGCTGGATGATATGGCTCGCCGATGCCAAGCACCTTGTATCTCAGGGCCTCCAACCAACAAATGATGTGGCAGAGCTTCGAGTTCTCCTTGTTGCGGGGTGTCAACTACAAGAAGTGATAACATTGATAGCCCAGCTTATTCAAAGCGGTATACATGGCCGGTATAGTTTTAGTTAATGGGGTGCGTTGACTGTAGGGTCACTGCATACTCATTGTTGACGTGCGGGAAAGACCCAGACATAACACTTGCATCTCAACGGGCCGTGGGTGGATCGCCGAGGTTTTGTCAATTTGTCGTTGAGAAGGCATGATCTCTGATAACTTCTGTTCTCTATACCTTGAGATTGTAAAGTGGCTGGAGGTCAAAATCAATAGAAAGGACACTGGGTCACTGAGTGCTTTCGCTTTTACTTCTCCCAAGATATAATTGTTTTCCGATACCTAGCCAACTGTTATATCAGATCACATAAACTTCTTCTTAACGGCCTTAAACTCTGCTGTCCACTGTTGGATCCAACTGTGTCATATGATTGGGCTGTATCTTATTTGAGCCGCTACGCTGCCGATGCGTGGAACAAAAAGTGCGGAGAGGTGCGTTGGAAGTAGGTCGGATGCTATTGTGCTTTGTTGGATGAGGATCCATGCCGATAGCATTTTGACTGAGTGAGGATCCATATAATTGAGTATGCCAAATTTGATAAGATGAAGTGAATTGTGAGTCAAGCAATAGAAGTGAATCTGCATCGCATGTGAAACTAGCGCGATTTTTCCATCTACGCACTGCTCGCACATTTTCGAAAATTCGAAAGTAAAAACCACGATAATCAAAATCTACGACACTAGTTACTCTATGTGCAATAACGCAAAGAAAGTGAGTTGAAACAGAGGAAATAATCGCCAAGTGGGCAATAGCAATCAAAGATCAAGTCTAAACGATTATGGATCTTATGATAATATTGACAGCAAGATGCTGGATCTAATAACCACATGCAATCGTTTCCAAACCGTAGTCGCGGGACGAACCATGGTAGAGCTTCATGATGTGGCAATGTATCCATCAAGATACCAGCGTCTCTTTCGTCAAGAGACCCGCAGAATACGGTTAAATTGAATATAAACAGGTCTATTGCAAACCAGAAAAGACGGGGCAACGTGCCATCTAAATTTATTAATTCGGATATTGGTTCAAGATGAACTCTAAAGAGTGAAGAAAAATTACCTAACCTGATAATTTTGGCAGTCTCAGAGTGACATCAAACAAGATAGAGAAGTCTAACTATTCATTTTTCTCGAAATTCGAGGAAGAAGCACATTAATCATTAGGGATACGGGGACAACAGTTAGCATCTGTTCAAATTCTACCAATGTTTCCAGCCTTTTCATTGAATAGAGAAAAAAATCCAGAAGATTCCGACCAAGACGAGGAAGAAGTTAAATGGGAAGCGGAGCATAGGTCTGCTGAATTGCATAAAAATAGTCTATCTGCTGGAGATGATTTTCATTTACTACAACCAAGTCGTCGAGCACGACGAAGAAGACAATGAAGGAAACGATGATGATAGCGATGATCTAGTTTCTGACAACTACAGTCAAGAATAGGGTGAAAAACAGAGCGACTGGAAGAGATCAAGGATCAATTTTATCACCACAAGAGCAAGGCTCGGGTGATGATACCTGGAGCTCTGAGCATGAGTTAAGCTTTTGAATGAGCTGGTCAGTAGGCAAATAGTCTCTTCTAGATGGTACACCCACGACAGAAATCTTTTTATGGAGAAAATCAATCAAGGGGTTTGATTTTGGTCCTGAAGAACTATTTCCTCCCAACACTACCATGTCAAGAACAGATGTTCCAGATTTTGTTGATAGAAGTGATCATCGGATATCCAACACCATGAACTTGACCATTAAATTTTGCGATAGCTTCAAGTACATCGTAATTTTGCTAAGCATTTCCTGCTTTACAGGTACATGAAAGACATCATGAAGGTCAATTCCGGTATCAAGCCACTCAAAGAAGTAAAGAATACAGGTATAAACGCAGATGAAGATTCTGATACACATCATTTCGTGCTAGCGACTGGACTAATATTATCAAGACATGAGACGCTTATAGAAAAGTTTCCAATAATTTCTGTAGAATGACTATGTTATTTTGATTCTACGCCACTTCAGTGATAAATCGCCCACGGAAAATCTCAATCAAGCTAACCAATCCTTCGCGCACCATAGTCTCTTCCTTTCCTACTCCAACAGAATCTCTACATTGAGCATTGGTGACCGTTTTCTCTAGCTCCACACAGATCCTTTCTGCTTTTGCCTTCTCCGTCTTGAGGATGGCGTTCAAAATACTTGGATTGTGTCCAATATCAGTGAACTCCATATCTCCAATTTTTATGCTCAATGTCATTTTCTTGTCAGGCCCGTTCAAGCCTTCTGTGGATAGGCCGGCAGGATTGGCAAGTAACTCGTAAGCATTGTATACTTGCTGTAAAATTGCCACGCAAAGCATCAACAACGTTGAAGTGGAACTGAGCTCGCAAGAAGAGCACTGGGCTAGGGTTAAAGTTTCGCAAATGAATAGGCCATTTCGTGCTGCAGCGAATATACCATCTAACGATGAATTGAGATTACCGCAGACGACAGCATGCAAATTTGAGAGACTCAAAAGTGCAGATTGAAGGCAGTTACAACCTCCTGGAATTCTCTCTGCCAAAATTGGGTCAAGGTTGTTTTCTTTAGAAGGTACTTCACTTCCGCGCGATTGCTCGTGACTTTCATCCCCGCCGATATTGAAGTTAATATCATGTGGAGGATTCTCATTATCAAAAAATATGTCTAGTGATGGCATACTGAGAAGACTATCGCTATAGTATTGAGAAGACTCGTGAAAAGAAATGTCACACTCATCTATGACTTGAGTCGGTTCATGTAGAGCTGAAATTGGCTGACAAGAAGTAGGAATCTCAGGTGCAGAGACTGATCTATTGTGCTTTTGATATCTTGGCTGTGGTTGTAGAGTGACCAAATCTTTGTGACCTGGAAAAGTCAGCCTGAAATAAACACATGAGGCTAAATATACAAACAGGAATTCTCAATCTCGTTGCAATTCGGGTCTATTGTAGTGGAACTCGGGTCAATGCCTAAGAATTGTGAGTCGGAAATTCCTTGAAGTGAAAAGTTTACTTACCATCCATGGTTTGAACTGGCTTGGTCTGTGGCGATAAAGAGATTTTCTTTTTGGGTGACTCTGTTGATGGTGGAGCAGATCTTTTTCGGGATCGCTCTAGGTCAATGGCAGCACTGTAGGTGCATGCGTTACCATTTAGACTACATCTTTGACAGCAATCTGGCTCTCTTGTACATTTGACTTTGAATCGATAGCATTGATCACATGCGGAAGTCTTCGTGGCCTTTTTGGGTGCTGTTTGCTGAGATCGATCTCGCGTTCCAGAAGAATTTTCGACATCATCCACACTAAAAGGATAATTGATCGTTTCTTTGTTTTCATTAGGGTACTGCCACCAGTCTGATGATTCTATTTCTACTTGTGTTAACTTTGTTCCATGTTTCAAGAGAGGTGAACTTGCCATCTGATGTCATTGAAGTTGGTAAGATGGTCAAATTTTGTATCATTTCAGGGCCTAGTCCGTTTTATGTGAGTGCATTCAGTGTTAGGAGCGATTTGAGACCAACCTTCTAATGATATTTTTGAATTTTCATCATATGTCGAAGTTTCTAGCCGATCATGGCCGTCTTTTGTCTCATTTTGGAACTGCCGACGGCTCTTGAAGTTTCTCTTGGGTCTTCCCATAAATTTACCAAAGCTAAATGAACTTGTAAGTTATAAAGAGCAACCAAAGAAGAACAGATCAAAGCTATAGTATCTACCTATATGTACAAGAGCTTTTTAGTTCAGCGCATCTTTGACATTGAAGTGGATGTTTAGAGCAGCTCTGCTTCGTTCGGAAACATTGATCACAAGAATTAGAACTACTTCCGCTCGGGAATTTGCACTGTTCAGGCATACTGTAGAAAATGATTGATATGATAAGACTTGGAATTTGAACTTGGATGAGGCAGTAGTCATGATGTATAGCTAGTGGCGCCATCTGACTTGTTATAAGAAACTCGGAGAAACATTTCACCAGTTTCCAAGTATTACCCTATGACCATAAAACTCATCCTTTACACCGCTTTCATGCTCCCTGTATAACGCCTTCACCTCACTAAAAGTGTTTAAAATCTTACCGAAGATCTAATTTGTGAAGGATCGAAGATGGGATTGACGATGTTGATACAAGAATTGAATAATTTTATCATTGAATACGAATAACTGGCCAACAGAGGTAGTACTGCAAGCAACACCATATATGCACCTACCATGCGAGTCGCCACGATTAACTCTAAGCGGCAGCTGAAGAAAAGCAGTCAGAACTTAGTTTAAATTTGAATAGTCTGCATACTAGAATCCTGCCGATGTCCCCAGAGCAGTCATTGGGTCAGTATACGGCGTGTTCTTTATACGCCCCACTGTGATAATACGTACGCATTCTATATCACATATTGCAATAAATCTCATTGATATCTGTGCCACTAGAATTATTCAACTTCAGACTGAATATTGAGTATCGCTTAAATCACATGGAAATACCGAAACTCAATATGTTGCCAGTATTATATAATACAGCTTATACATACATATTACAGTGGATAATCTACCCATTTATACGCACTAATGCACTGTAATACATGATGCTAACTTGCAATACTCCAATCACTGCCCCGGGGCCGTGTACCGGTATCGTACCGGTATTGCTTATCATACCCCAAAAGCCCAATTAGCCAATGCTCTGCAGTCTACTCCAGTCTCCACTTCGTGCTGCTTATGGTGGGGTGGTATATTACTTCGAATGGCCGATGCTTGCAGAGGAAGCAACTTCCCGAATTAATAATCGGGCGCCGAAACTGTTATCAATACCTGGATAATGTCATCGGGCCAAAGGATCTTACTGGGTGATTGGTCTGGTGTCTCCTCATTCTTATTATCCCTTATTTTGGATATCAACGTAGGTATTGCACAATCACGATTAGATACCGTGACAAGTAACGTCATTTTCTTGAGTCTATGAGAACTGGGGGGGGGAAGTGGGGGGGAGGGGAGGTCATCAAGAGCGTACGTAACTCAGTGCATTGCGGTTATCATGGCCGATCGCGATATCCCTTGTACAACGGCATTCAGTTGTCTCGGTGACAAAATCGATGGATCCTCGAGCTTGGCCTTCGAAACACCGGTACATCACGAAATCCGGAACCACCAACCGAGGAGATCCAAGTTAGTTAATAAATATAGCATCCACCCTGGCATATTGTATCACGTGGATGGCTGTCAATACTTTACCTATGGTTGCAACTGGAAGCGATAGTTAAAGTATTGAAGTAGATACATTTTTCTAACATCAAACAACTTGACGTGTTCTTTTGGTGAATTGGGTTGCCCTAAGTACCTAGGTAGGGATTGAAGGAATAAAGCTCACGTGGATTAGGGTTGCAGAAAGCTCTAGAGCTTTCACTTGATACATTACAGCAAAACCTCTGAGTAGGGATACTTTTTAAGCGATTTTTTTCGAAGATAATGTCAGGTATCCCCTATATGAAGGTACCCTAATCCCAACTCAGTTGGTTCCGATCGGTTCCGATCTGGTTACATTTCTGCAATTTTTTTGGCTTCACTTATAATCGACTGCTAAAACTTCAATGATTTATTATGCGTTGACCCAAATTCTGATGATTCTACTGATGCAATAAGGATACACGTGATCTGAGAACTGAAAATCTTAAGGCTATCCTCGCAGCGAGATTTCATGGCTAATGGTCAGTTTAGGTCATTTTTCAGTTCCAAAAAAGAGACCGAAAGGGGTATCATTATGAAGAAGATATTCTCATATACCCGGTAGAGGATCTTTACAGAGAGGTTTTGCTGATTCATGAGAACCGGTACGGCGGTACCCAAGTATTCTCTGATGGAAAGTTTTATTTCATTTAAGGCTTTTGCTCCATTTAAAAGCAATCTAATTGAAGCTTAAATCCGTTGTCCCTGTTTGGTGTAACCTAGTGAGCCAGTTCACCCAAGAATACGGCACTACTATGTAGAAAAGTTGTGGATTCAGAACGTACATTTCCGTGAATGTACCGAAGACGTGTAATCTCAAAAATGGTGGACGGGAACTTCTAAGCAGAATTGAGCCAATCACAAGATGCCAAATTTAAAATCTTTGCTGGTTGCTTGTCCACCATCTTGATTCTAAATGCAAGATCTTTGAATGTCCAATAATTTGGCACCGGATTATTCAAGGATTCTCAAATCTAGTGCATTCTTTTAATTTTCAATTTGATGTTGAGCCTTCTCACAGATATACTCAGACTCTACTTGGTAGACAATTACTCATTTCTCGATTTTCGGGCACTGAATCCAATATATCACATTTGTCACCGGTGTACAAAAGAATGGGCAAACAACAACATTCATTTCTATGAGCTACGACACAATGAGGAGACAAAACTCTGATAAAGGAGTGGCTAAGTTCAACACCAGCACATCATTCCCACACGATCACACCGGTGATCAATTTCCCCACATCATGTCATTTATTTGAAGACCTTATTCACAGTCACTAAAAGGCTCTAGCTTCGAATCTGTTGGGAGATAGCACTGAGCACTGCCCAGGGTCAGCAAAGAACTCGAAGACGGCTCGGAATCTTACCTACAATTGGCATAGGTTAATTGAGCAGTCCTAATCCACCTTGAGCTTGGTGGGTTCTGCCTCAGCGTTGCGGTCAACCTTAAGTTTAGTGGGCTCCGCTTCGGCGTTTCTGTCGACCTTGAGTTTGGTGGGTTCTGCCTCAGCATTACGATCGACTTTAAGTTTAGTGGGCTCCGCCTCAGCGTTGCGGTCAACCTTGAGCTTGGTGGGCTCTGGCTCAGCATTACGATCGACCTTGAGCTTGGTGGGTTCTGGCTCAGCATTGCGATCGACCTTGAGCTTGGTGGGTTCTGGCTCAGCATTACGATCGACCTTAAGCTTGGTGGGTTCTGGCTCAGCATTGCGATCGACCTTGAGTTTGGTACGACGATCAACCTTAAGTTTTGTTGGCTCGGCTTCAGCGTTTCTGTCGACCTTGAGTTTTGTAGGTTCTGGCTCAGCATTTCTGTCTACCTTAAGCTTGGTACGACGGTCAACCTTAAGTTTTGTTGGCTCAGCTTCGGCGTTTCTATCGACCTTAAGCTTGGTGCGACGATCAACCTTAAGCTTTGTTGGCTCGGCTTCAGCGTTTCTGTCAACTTTAAGTTTTGTTGGCTCAGCTTCGGCGTTTCTATCGACCTTGAGCTTGGTGCGACGGTCAACCTTGAGCTTTGTGGGTTCTGGCTCAGCGTTGCGATCAACCTTGAGCTTGGTTGGCTCTCGGGCTTGCAAAACATCTCTTGCTTCGACTATTAAGTATTAGTTAGCTTACTACCTATGCAAATAGAGTGAGTAATCACCTACCTGAAACCGGAGCAGCGGCAACACTGGTGACAAATGCCACAATTGCGAGGATCTGGGAAACCTTCATACTGAATAGATGATTATAAGATATTGGAGATAGTTAAGCTTGAAGTAATAGATTGTTGATGAGTATGATTATTCTTTCACAAACAGACAATTTAAATGTATATATACTTCACAGATCGTTTCCAATTGTCGTGCTCAACTCGAAAACTTGCTTCAAAGACCGATTTCTAGACACCAGATTTCGTTCTGGCTAACTGCAGACTGCGACGGAGAGTGGGTCTGCGCAGACACTTTCGGGGATCTTGTTTCAAGCCAGTCTATCTCAAATGTTTGGTTTGAGGCCGTCCCCGTGACTGAGTCTTCCCATGTTGGAAAGCGGTGATTGTTCCAACTTTCTCACCAAGTTTTGTTCGGTGGAAATTTCGGGCCCGATTTCTGTCTGAGTATGATCAATCTCGGACTGCTACTAATCCTGCTGTAAGGGATTCCCCCGAAGAAGTCTTCTCGAGTGTTGGAATACCTTGTTCCATTACTCAATCAAATATTGGCCCAGGAATCGCGCTCACTAGTTCTAGTTAAGACCATATCGTCATCTCTGAACAACTGAACTTTTCTTGTTCACGTCTCCTTTCTGAGATATTACAGCCAAACATATTTCAGTTTGTATATATTCTTAGACCAGTTCAAAGAGTCTAAACAGTAATCCATAGATAGCGAGAGATTTGAAATATTGTAAAATCTATACTAGTCGCGCACAGCTAACGTGATCGCAATGTCAAATTCTTGGTTTGAGGTGATATTTTAAGTAACTGGCAATCGTCTAAATCACACATTCACAGCTTTTTTGAGTTTATGAACAAATTAGAGAGTTTAAATTAGAAAATTTGGACGAGTATCAATTTATTCAATGTTAGAATCTATCCACGTGTGTATTTAAAGAGTCTGAACAATCAGATCAGCCTCCAATTGCTTCGCGAGTTTGATAGATCCTAGGTCTACAACCCGCCAGAATAGATCTCCAAAAAATATAACAACCGGGGTAATGCAGATAAATGAAATTGTGAATCCAAATGCGTGATTGAAGTCAGTGTCATTGCCAGTGAGCTTCCAGATGGCTGGCTGAAGTCGCCAACCCCAAGAGGCAAGGATTGGCCAATGTACCAAGTACAAACCAAATGAAATCTGGCCTAAATATCGAGGAATTGGAGAGGTAAAGATTTTTTGAAGGAGAGGTAAATTCGAGATTGCCCAGACAATGAGAATGGATCCGACTACGAATACATTGGATTCCCAAGAAATGATAGCCGAGATTGTTTGGAACCCGAAGGTAGTTGATCCATACGATCCATGGATATGAGGAATCGAAGCCAACCATAAACCAGCAAACAAGACTACAGACCACCCCAGGGCAGACCCTAATTTTCTGCCCATGGATTTGGGTACAACTACGGATCTTGCTTTACGAACGTGATGCTCAGCGATAAGCATTCCGCAAAGAAAGCAAGAAATATCATATCGCATGCACCAAAATGCGTAGTAGATCAAGAATAAAGTGAATCCGAGACGAACGACTGGTCTCAATCTTCCCAAGCCAGTGAGTGTAATGAATAGTAAGAAAGAACACCATAATTCTTTGGGTATGGTGTACAGAGGTGCAGCATATTCAGACTTCGTAACGTTGTGAAGTGATACTGTCCACTCGTAAGGGTATAGCAGCTTGCTGAACACATATTCCAGCCAGTCCACAAATTGAAGTAAAAATGTTTCTTGGTAGATTGGGCCGCCAAGGTCCATATCCACCGTTCCAGAGTATTTGGCATCAAACACGTGTGTTCTGGTGAGCAACATTATCACAAACGTAACTGCCATCGGCGGAAGCACTATGCGGAAGGCTCTTCGAAATGTGGCAGAGGACAATGAACGGTAAAGTCGCTCCCAATCTTTCTCATAGATCAACTCCAATGGTCGAAGCGCCAGAGCAAAGCCAGAAATAACAAAAAATATCGCGACCATTACACTGCCAGAGAATGCAAGGCGGATGATGGGTAGTTGCCAGAAATATGGATGATCACCATATTCTTCAAACATCAAAGGATGGAACTTCATAGCGACGTGCTCTAGATAGACACAAAATGAAGCAACTCCTCGCATACCATCTAGGTATGCTGTTGGACTCTGGCGTGTAGGGACTTCGACTTTGTAGCCGCAGAATCTTGAAATTGGACTTGGCAAAAGAGTAATAGCAAGGGATTTTAGCCCATGGTGAAGCTTGGACATAGCGGAAGTCTCCTCGTCAAAGGGCATGCCTTGAAGAGTTTCATCACTCATAGCGTCTTCACTGCCGCGATCATAGCTTTTTTGGTTGTCGAATTCATCCGATGTCGAGTTCCATTGAGACTGGGCTGACTGCTTCTCTGCCATGGAGTGTTGAGATCCGGCCGTGGTAATATCAGATTCAGGTATCGCCATTGTCAATTGCAACATGAGAGAATGAAGTTAGGCTAGTTAGGGGACAAAACATTCGTACAAATCTTCAAAAGCACATTGAATAGTATAAGGGCCATTGAGAACTAGGATTAATCCTTCGAGACCGAGACTAATTCATAGAGACTGCCTCGAGATTCGGAAAAGCCACATTAGGATACGGAACTTCAGCTTATCCTGTGCTATCGCGAATGACGCGCAATATTGGCGATGCATCTCTTGCACACACCGAATTTGAAGGCCCCGAATCTTCACACACCGATTTTGTCAGGACAACTCACGTAAGCATTTAGCTTTGTCGTCGCACATTCGTCGGATATGTGCATTGCAGATATCGTATACGTTAGACATCAATCTTGAAGAAGCTTGTACTGCGACCTAAGCTTATCTTTTAGGTCAATCTTCAACGGCTAAAGTCCGCATGTAGCACGCGTACACATGCGAACATGGTGTGATCTTCAAACCGTCCACCATACCGAGTACAGAATTGGTTCAGAAGGAGGGGTTCTTGTGATAGTGCAGCTCAGCTCGTGGCGACGTGGCCACGTTTTCCTGCATATATTTGTTAGTTGTATTGAGAACCACGATTGCCGGGCGCCGGGGTCGCTTGAACTAGAGTTGGTGGCCCGTGCATGCGTCCCGTCTATTTTTTTTTTCACGTGCCACCTCGTGTGCGGGACTGATATCTCACGTAGTACAAACGCTCGCTCTGATTTGTAGCTCTGCTTGAGTTGACTCGCTCTTGTTATCGAGTTGGAAACTCCTCAAATGTGCTTTGCGACCGTTACATTCCCTTATCCGAGGAGTCTCGTGAAGGATCGACCCATTTGATCTTCCAACCCTTTACGCGTACGACGGCCACTAGTAGACACGTAGATAGATCAGTATCTCGATCTCAACGTTCAGATACTATCTAGTGTCCACAGTGCAAAGTTAAATTTGTGACAGGCTGGTCAGGGGCTACAAGGTGCGTACTGCATTTCGGTGGGGGGTTTGGGGTTTTGACTCTATCCAATGTCCCGGGTCCGGGTCCACTTCATGTCTTGAATCTAATTCGAAAATCCATTCCTCTTGATGAGCCTGACTCATTCTGAACATTAAGTTCCCCCACAGCGCAAGCATGAGGTCATGGGCAAACATTTGTGGCCATTCTAGGAACGGAAACATTAATATCTGGATTGAAGTTCAAACTACGTGCTGGACCTCTAAGCTCACATGATCCCTTTCAGCGAGAGAATGATACGAAATCGCTCCAATTTCACGTGACAAGGTCTCTGTACTGTCAACTGGCTTCGAAAGCCCTTATGATAGGATTGATTATCATTCAGGTGTGCTATCTATCATATGCACTTTGCTACATTTAAACCCTGTCCTAACTATAAACCTTGATATCTGCAAGTGATCTTAAAGCCGACTCTTCAGCAATCTGGAAAGTCGATGTTAATCCTAGTCATAACCGTATCAAAGGACGCAGTCTGGTTCATCAACTGATCCGTACAACTGCAGGATCGGGGAGTCAGTAAGGCCTTTTGATAGAGCTAATCGGAGGAAAAGGAGAAACTGGGTATTTTGTAGTACAAAGTTAGGGAACGGGTTGTACTGACTGCTCTGTGTGATGGTAGGATGACAATCCAGATTCCAAAACTCCTCCTCTAAGCAATGACCGATGCATCATCCTCCATCCATAGGAACAATGAAAGATGTGGTATTTTCTCGTGGTCCAGACCATCACCTTAACCTCGGACAACTCTTTATAATCCTTCACAGGTTTCGTTCCCTCCATATCATAGAAAAATGGCTCTGAAGCCACCTCAAGGAACTCCTCAGACAGTTCATCGTCGTAGCAGTCTCTATGAAGCCAAGCCATGGTCATCAAATCAAAGACACAGCCATTCGCCTTTGCAGTTTCAGAGTCGAGGCCGCAAGGTTGGAGTTTATGCGCCGTAGAGGGATTCACGCGGGACATGCCTACGGGTAGAACACCATCTCCACTAGCGGAGTGAGATTTGAGGAATGGTGAGCCGTTGATGAAATAGAGAACAAGGATGACTGCCGTGAAGAAGAATGTGCCAATTTGAAGACCCAACTGGATTCGAGAGGTCCGGATTCTGTGTCTGCTTGTGCCATTTCCGGTTGAGATGAAAGGAGCGTCTTCTTCGCCTTTGTCTGCATCCCGTTCGCCGTACATTTTGCTGAGAAGTGTGTATTTTGGCTTTCCTGGGTAGGCCATGATTTGAAGTTAAATCCGTGGGCGATCTATAAGCACAAAAGATTGGATAGTATAGGTGATTTGACAATTACGAGTGTAAGGTTATGGGAGCTATAATCAGATCAAGGGCAAATGAATTGGATAGGTACTGATAGGCACTTGACACAGAGCCACCCGTTTGATATTGCCCGAACACTCTCGGACATGAGCTTTGGCACCGAAGAAATATTACATAATGAAATCCCATGTACTCTCCGCTGGAGAGACTAGAGCAGTAGTCTTATTAGTTTAGGTAAATGTGCATAATTTGATTTGTACAACATATTGTTTAGGTAGGTTTAGGTTTAGGTTTTGAACTTTTGATGTTATATTCCAAATCCTACAGGTCAATCGAAAGCGTTTTTCGCATAGTGTGAGAACGTATGAAGGATACTAAATTCATAGCTCATAATTTAACATGTGCCAAACCATTTCTTTTTCTTGACATTATAGACAGTTATCTCAAGTCCTACGTAGTATAAGTGCATCGATTTCGAGGAAGACAAGATTGGGCGATATTACACGACATCCCACATAAAAGGATATATCAGAATGAAATTGAAATTTGGACTTGGTTAACCATGATTTACTGTACTATAATATTTCCTTACGCTCCATATCGATCACGCCGTATTAATTAACATCTCTAATCCTAACACACTTTCCAAAAAGTAATTGAACTCTTGTGGTGACCTTTTCAAACTCTACCCTCTCAGGATCCAAGAATACACTAACGCAGTGGTCTGTATGAAACATTCCTATCCCTTCATTTGTAACAAGGTGTCCACTCATTGCCTATCATAGTTGTCAGCATTCATTCAGAAGTTCGGAAATTCGAGTAACTCACAGCAATGTGCAAGAGCTTGAAGATATAAGCGCAATGAGCAATGTGGTAATGCTCCTGTGTCCACACCATTGGAATATCGGTCTCCGCTGTCACAGATGTAACCCATGGCAACTCATTTTCCGTGAGCTCGTATCCTGGTTTTTTGTTGGTATTTGAATACCATTTCCACGGCCCATATAACTCTAGAAATTCATCCGAGATGTTCTTATTGTAGCATGCGGGATGTGTCCACGAAAAAGACATGAGATCCCATACACAGCCTTTCTCTAGGGCCTCTGCTGGACTATTTCCACAGTCTACGATAATGGTGTCGCCTGCTTCTACTAAGGGCCATCCTCCTGGTTTCAGGTCAGGCGTGATTGCTGGGATATAGTTGATAGTTGGTTTGCGGTCGAGCAGTGCAGCAAGAGCAAAGAGGAGAGTGGCTGCTAGGATACTTGATGTTATGGCAATGACGGTAGAGCAATTCCACCAGCGTCTGGATGAGCTTCCTCGGTACTCTTGCTGTTTGGAAAGTTTTTCTGTGTCGTAGTTGTCATCGCCGGATAGACCCATTCCACCTAAGGAAAGAAAACTTTCATCCTCTCCATTAGGAGTCACAGAATATGTGTGGGAATCATAATCTAGCGCTATGGGAATCGTTTAGCTTGGCCAATATGAAACATTTAAGCGCAAATGTAATACTCACCATTCTTGACCTTGCCAACAACCGCCGTTCCAAGAGCTTTTGGGGACATTTTTACACTCGATGGTAATCAAATTGGGCAAAATAATTATCCAATTGATAGTTCAAAGAAATGAATTTAAACAAAAATTAAATCCCTCTAAACATTTTTCGAAGAATATGAAAAGGAACCTCTAGATCAACATATCGGGCTTAGAGGCTAATTAAAGTGGGGCCGTCTCACTAACAACCATCCCGAAAGCTTTCGGAGCCTATTTCGACCACCATTCTCATTTCGTGGGTTCAACAAACATACGTGTAGTGCCGTCGATACTACTGCGGAAAAAGTCCTTTCGTTCTAAGTGGAGAATTGAGCAATCATACAGCATTTTTCCAAACCCAGTTAAACACCATTCACAAAATGCCATACGCCGTGCAATACGTATCCACAAGCGATGCACCAGGTCTAGCAGAGGCAATGATGAGCGCCTGGTGGCAAGATGAGCACTGGAAAGTTCTATGGGCAAAAAGCAACATGCCGCTCGAGCAAATAATTTCTGATTGTAGTGAGCGCTTGCCGTGGAATTTCATCAGCGGCCGAAGCGTCAAACGGCACCTCAAAGTTGTTGATTCAGATTCTGGGGAAATAGTAGCGTACTCGCGATATATTTTACCCGACACCCATACCGAGATATGGCCCGAAGCCCAGATTTCTGAACCTAGTTCTGTGGAAAATGCGGAATACGAAAGAAAGTTTAAGAGTGTCACAGATAATGGAAAGATAAGAGGAATGGATTATGCGTTTGCTTCGGAGTTTGGGAACCCTCTTGCAGAAGTGGAGGAAGAAATTTTGAAGGATAGTGGTTCTTGTTTTGGTATGTTTGATAACAGTCTATGATACAAAGAAAATAGGACTTTCTAACTCCGAAAAGCTGTGGATTACATGACGACCCATCCTGCTCACCAACACCACGGAGTAGCGTCAATGATGTTGAATCAAGCTCTCGCAGTTGTAGATGAAGCGGGCTTGAAATCAATTGTAATGGCAAGTCCGGCTGGACAAAGACTGTATGAGGGACATGGCTTTCAATTTGTGCGCACTCTTGTTCAGGATGATTCTCAATACGGGACTACATCACCCTACGTTCATTCTTGGCTTATTAGACCATCTCCCAAGTAGAGTCACGGAACAATAACGAGGAATCACCGCTCATGTGTCCTAGTGTTGCAAAGTGATATCGAAATTATTTTTCAAGGGTAGCTTCTGATTTTGATAATAGGTAGATAAGAAATTTGGAATAAATACATGAATATCAGCGTTCTAGATCTTAACTCATTGATATAAAAAAAGTTACTCAAAGTCAGTTCAGTCCCACGACTGGATAATTTAAGCATACCCTACATCTTCATTGTTGATCTCACTCAGCCTTACACACGGATTGTACAACATCCTGATCCAGGTGTTCATCACTTCGCCATTTCCCCATTCTCCAGCCTCATACCTGCCTACCAGATTCTCACAATGATTCCGGTGATAATCCCTCGCTATTTCCTGTGGAACAAGAACATCATCATCCTCCACCGCTCGCGCTATTATTTTCATCGTGTACACGCAGTGCTGATAATGATAGTTTATCTGAGTCCACGTCTCGACAGATCGCTTGAGAATCTCAACATCCTGCGGCAATGCAAGTGTAAGATTTTCCCCGATATACCATGGCCATGGTCCGGTGGCCAGTGCTTCTTCGTATAAGTCTTGGTAGAAACACTCTGGGGCCGTGAACCCGTAGTTCATGAGATCAAAAACGCAACCATATTGCTCGGCTTGGCTTGGAAAACTCCCACATCTTTTAGTTCCTCCCAATTCAGGCGAAGGCCCTTCACCCGCATCAACAAAATCCGGTTGAAGAGAGTTCTGTTGTGACAGAGTCCGGATTCTCACAAATGAGCCTGGTGTATGAATTGTGAAGCTCGAGATGGTGAGGATGAGAATACACAGTGTGGCGAGGACGCCAGAAACTAGGAGTGACTTTGGCGCTTGAACAAATTCTTGTAATACCACGCTGAGACTTTGCTTTCGTGTCCGGTAATGCATGGGGGTTTCCATTATCGGACCTTCTTCATCATCATCGTCGCCCATGGGAACGGGGTCATAGAGCTTAACCTCTCCCATCTCATCATCATGAATTGGTTCTAAAAACAAGACCTTAGCAGATTTCAAGGACGGAGAAGGATGCAACTTACTCATTCTGACTCAAATTTCGATTGAAGTGGATCAGTAAGAAGTGCCAAAAAAAACTAACAATCCCAAAGACACCAGAGAAATACGCTTATCTCAAAAAGAAGACGACAACATGGTACCAAGGTAGTGATAAGAGTCGCTTATATTACAGAATCGGAAAATTGTTGTGTATGTGGTTTTGGTGGCTTCGGGTGGGGAACTGTCCCGACCATTTTCGGACATTTCTGAGCCCGAATTTTCGACAAAATCTATCGCTACAGTATACAGCCAACCAAATTGAAGAAGAAGATTGACTTGTTGGCTTTCTCCAATCATGTCAAATGACTAGAGTGTGGATCTCTCAAAGGCGACTTCTCTTCAGTTCTCCGGGTGTTCTGTACGTTTCCTGTGACATGCTTGATTTTTCGACATTTGCTCGTTGAAAATCTCCCTCACTAAACACTACTCCCCAATAATATCAAGAGAATGCCTCATCATTACCAACAAGTTAGATCATCAACTACAGCGGTTCGAAGATGGCGAGAAGATGAGGAAGTTCCAAGTCGTGGCAAGCTATTTTTGCTCTGCCTTACAATATGTCTAGGAGGGTCAGTATCTATTACTGAACACTTTATATGCCGTCAACTAATTTTCTATAGGCTCCAGGTTGTTTGGGCAACAGTAATGGCCCAAGGATCTGTATGGTTCCTTAAATTTGGTTAAACAGTGTCAAATACTAACCTCACCAGAGTTATCTCATTTCCCTTGACTTACAACCCTCCGTAGTATCTCTGGTCTGGCTAGCAGGGCCAATCTGTGGTACTCTGCTCCAACCATACATAGCATACGAAAGTGACTATTGTACACACAAATGGGGGCGAAGAAGACCCTTCATGATATACGGTACAATCGCTACAATAGCTTGTATCAACGCGCTTTCCTGGACGAGCGAGGCCGTCCGATTAATATGCAATCTCTTAGGAGTGTCAGACCATAGTTTTGGTGCAAAATTCGTCATTCAGGTATTCGCCGTCACGGGGGTATGGCTACTGAATGTTGCCATTCAACCTGTTCAGGCGAGTATCAGGGCGTTGATTGTGGATGCGTGTCCAGGTTCTCAAGCAGCTAAAGCAAATTCTTTTGCAAGCATTGCGGTCATTATTGGAAGTGCAATCGGATATGGTTGTGCTTTTATTGAAATACCCAAAGGACCTGCTTGGTTGACCAATCCTCAGTTCAAGGGTCTCTGCTTCATTGCCTCTATTTCGCTTGGTGTCACTGTCACTATCACATCTGTAATGATTGAGGAGAAGGCGGTCAATATTGACAATGATGGATCCGAAAAATCAGGGCTCCGAAAAATATGGATAGAGATATATGGGGCGATTAGAACACTACCCCCCACGATCAAAATGATTATGGAAGTCCAATTTTGCGCTTGGCTGGCTTGGTTTCCATTCCTTTTCAATATTGTATTGTAAGTTCAGCGCCATATTTGATAAAATCGCATAGCTAACTCGCTGGTCACATGAAGATTTCTCAGTAGGCTTTGTAAGCTACACACACTCCTCATGTTATTTTTCATTACTGACCACCTCAATGTAGATGAAGTTCAAACTCTTTCTGAAAAAATGGGTCCACCCTCGACCAAATTTTATAACGGCCTTCGACAGCAGTCAATTCGACATGCTACCCTGGCAATGCTAGTCTTCTCAATGGTGGCACTTGTCACCAACCTTTGCCTGCCTTATCTCATCATCGATGCGGATTCTTCATCTAACTCAGAACTAGAGTGGCAAAAGGAAGAGCGACTCACAAGTGCAAAACCTGGCATCTTTGTGCTATTGCGGAAAAGACTTGTGAATCGCCTAACACTTCCCCGAGTGTGGATGATATCACATATTATCATGGCTTTTGCGCTGTTTGGGATAACTTTTGGAGGAGACGGTTTCATGACAAGTGTGTTATTCGTCTCACTATTGGGCTTTTCTTGGACACTTACCCAATGGGCCCCTTTTGCCATGATTGCCGCCGAGATAGCTTCTTCTTCTATACCAGACTTAAGAAGCCTGGAAACAGACACAGAGGATCAATCCGCTAGTCTGGAGAGTGTAGCCGACCTGAGACCGAGGGCTGGAATAACGATGGCTATACACAACATTGCCATCGCGACACCACAGATGCTGTCAGCTATAGTGGGAGCTTTAATCTATTGGGTATGTAGACAATCACATACTGGGGAAACTGATGCCATGAGATGGGTGTTGAGAACGGGAATTGTGGCTGGTATATGTGCTGCTTGGTGTGCAAGGAAATTATGATCGAGCTTGCTTTTGAGCTTGACCTTGATGATTCTAGGAATTTTCAAGCCATTCTCTGGTTGCCTAGCTTATACGAAAGTAGTCTTTGTAAAAACATCCAATCCACCACCACTCTACAGACTTGTGAAATTTCAATTCCGACCTGGATATTGCTTGCTTGCATGCTTTGGATATACAGAAAACAACTGGACTGTATAAATTTTCAAACCAACTTCTTTCATAACTTATCTAAAAATAAAACCCAAAGGTGTAAAATGAGATGTAATCCGATGGATAGAAATTACCCGTATAAATAAGCCTCATAAAGTCTTGAACAAAAATTAGAAATTACATGAGCATTAAGCGTATGAATACCATCCATAGTATTCTCCACACAGTAAAAAAAATGATTAAACGTCTCCTTGACAACTAGCAGACGTATTGCTGAAGCAAGTCATCATGCTAAATTAGAGGGTAGATTCACGTTCCACACGTCCCGATTCTGAATGTCCGATTTTGTACGGACTTTACTGGACCCGTTTTTCCAAACATTTCTACGGCTATGCAACTTGTATAGCAATGCGAACTTTCATTTTTCTACTCTCTGTATGACTGCAGGGTCCTGTTCTACTCTCTGTGTTGAATCCTACATTTCCATGCATTCCTCTTATCTGTAATCGTTGTGCTCAATCGATTCGGAGTACCACTATCGCCGTTTTCTTACAACTTCCTGAGATATCGTAAAACGTTTTTTAAGAATTCCTGGTGTACGACAGACAAAGCTGCTCGTCACTTCAAAGTATGGCTCGTTTCGAAGATGTAGTGTTGAAACTCAGAAGATGTATGAAAAGTCTACTTCCGCACAAACTTATAGGATGTAAATCTGACTTGTCATGTAATAGGGGCATTCCTTTCCGAAGAGAATAATGGAAGCGATGAAAAACTTCTCGCTAGCACCACCTCATCATCTGTGGCATCAATAGATGAAGAGGATTCCTCTTCAACTGAAAAAGAGACAAGACAGCAAACTCATCATAGAATCTTTTTCATCTCCAGCATCCTCGCCATAGTCGTGCTAGGAGCCGTGACTCTCACTACTCTTCTCGTAGATAGCCACAGTGGAGTTGTACCAAATACTCCCTCGCCGCCTTCTCAAGGCGGCTCCCAAGTAGTCGCCCACTGCGGTATCTCAGCCCAAGAAGCTATGGAACGCGGCTGCCTGTGGGACATCATGTCATTCGGCTGGATCCACCCTCTTTGTTTCGACAAGGAAGAATCTGATCGTTGGGCGGCAAAGTACGGACCATTCGACTGGTACGTTGATGATGGACAGGCAGTAGATGAAAAGGAACAACCTGTCAATGGAACCCTGACGCAGCCGTTGAGTTTGGATGAGATTCCTTTCGCACAATCAGTCTGGACAACTCAAGGGTACCACATTATGCATTGTTTGTATCTATTAAAGATGGTTCATGTGGCGGCATTGAACAGTGATCCGGTAAGCAATGAAGCTGTGAATCTAGGGCACACGGATCATTGTGTGGGGTTGATTGGGAATACTGATTTGATTGAGTATGATGCGATTACCACACCAGTGCGGCTGCTTTTTGTACAATGTGTTACCCTCCAATGACGAGGAATGAAATTTCGGCTGGGAAAGCGGATGTATTCAAGACATTTTTACTTCCTAGTGGAGTAGGAAGACTACCTAGATAATATCAGCAATGGGATCAATTTAAAGTTGTTAGGGATCGTTGTTCATCAACCTTTGATTACTCAAAATACTCAAAAACTAATAAGAATACTTTAGAAACTATAACATTGAGTAAAAATTAGATTGTAGATGCCTTTCACAAATGAGTAACTTCAGGGAATGGTTAAAGACAGGAAAGTAGAGAACAAGAAGGTTAATCATGCTGGGTTTGCGGAATGTACAAGGTGCAATTATTGTACATGTATTCATTAATACTTCTTAATTCGATATGTCATTCGCTAGCAAAGCTAGCAAAGCTGAGTGCAAGCTCTTAAACTATTGCAAGAGCTAAGCAAGATCTATTTATACTTCTACAATCATCATCTCTTCAAAGGCACCTAACAAGGCAAACCAAATCCATACAACGTTTGCTTCGTCACGACGGATTAATCAATGCTTTATTTTACCCCATTTTGTTGCGCCCCGTTACCATTCCCTTGCCCTCGATTTTGATTCACGATGGCTTGCGAGTGCTGCTGCTGCTGCTGTTGTGCTGCCTGTTGTTGTGCCTGCTGAGTAATTAGTCTCTGCTGATGATGATTACTCAACATTTGAGCATACATCTGCGGACTAGCATTCTCGATGCCGATTGGCGGTGGTCGCTGTCCTCCTTGACCATTCATTCCGATGCTGTTGTTACCGGCTGCTGCGTTCATAGCGCTGGTTGCTATGCCGCTTGGAGGTTGGACCAAGCCTCGCTGCTGCAAATGCCTGTTGTTAGCATATGCAGCTATATTTTCACCCACCAATTTGTGGATTTCGTTTGGAGACGCATTGGGATTAGCTTTTTTGACGTTTTGTGCTATTTCACTGAACGGGACATTTGGAGGCAGACCACCATTAGGAAGTCCAGAAGGTGGCAGGTCTAGCCGAGGGGAGCCTGCTTGAGCTGGAGAAGGCGCTGATATACCAGGAGAACCAGCCATACCATTGATATGGTTGTTATTGTAGGAGTTCATATTATTGGGCATAAATCCAGGCTGCGTAGGCATTCCATTCATTCGCGGAGGGGAATTCTGCGCCTGTCCTGGATGCGGGCTATTCTGCTGCTGCGCCATGCTCTGCATGTGTTG